CACTTCTTTGTTTCACTTCTAGACCCCGTAAAGTAAGTCTTTAATACCAATATAAAATCTTTATATTTTTATAATTTATTTTTAATTGTGCTATTTCCATGCAGTTTCACTGATGATCATAAAAAACTGTCAAGAAAAAGGCTGTAAAACTTCTCTAGTTAAGCTTCTTTTCTGTTTTAGCATGGGTAAATGGGTTTGAAATCAGAGAGATCAAAGTCTTGTATTGGCCTATCAGTTTTTATTTAACGCCAAGCATGTTATCTTAATTACCCTTACTTAGTAACCAGCAATGGGCTCTTAAAGCGCCACTAAAAACGTAATTTGATACCGTGTATTCGTTGAGTAAATAAATATACGGATAAAAATCATATTTACTTAACGACAGTTGGCAGCCAAAACAACAAATATAAAAATAATGAACTAAAAAAGGCCAATTGGTAAGAGGTTTATATATATACTAAGACTTCAGCAGGATCATTATGAAGAATAGAGGGTTTGGCCTAAGCAGGCAGATTCTAGAGATATTAACTAGAAATTTAAAAGAATCAGATAAACTGGTTCGCACAGTGGATAATTGGCAACCATAAAGAGCGTCATAGAAGCCAAAAAATCGCATTTTTCACGCTTTAATATCTGTAATCAGGGGCTGAAATGTAAATCAAGGTAAGTATGAGCTACTTGCTCTACTTACAGTGGCAAAACTGAAGACCATCCTTACCTGGACGAAGAGAAATGCGATTAGTGTGGCTGATTTTACCAGTATGCCAAGTAATACTCACCGCTGGTAATTTTTGTGGGCGCCATTTGGAGTGTCAGATGGCCCTGGAAGGAAGAAGTATAATGCGCTCGGGCGTCTTCATATGCACTAAAAAACACCAGTTCACCTGCATAGACAAAGTTTGCGTTTGCGGAAGGCCAGCCAAGTGCAAGAAAAAGTGATGGAAGCCCTTTCCAGTTATTAATTCGTAATTAAATTACTTGGCTTGGCGTTCCGATTTCACGCAAAATGCGCTGCCTTAGTACTGCTCTTTCTGGATAACTCTTCGTGACTGTTCTGGAATAGAGTTCGGGTTTTTGGCTTTATTTTCACAATCGGGTTTTCAGCTTGTCCAGATTGCATGCAGCAAGCTTGGGGCATGTGTTTCAGCCCTTTAGTGGAGGCCTCGCATAATTGGTTTTGACTGCAGTCGGATGCCAAAAACAGCAGCTGAGCCAGCAGCAAAACAGCAAACCTCGTCAGCATCAGCGAAATTAACTGCAGCCAGGTGGGTGGTGTTCCCGAACAAAGGTCCTTTCTGTTGGGACGGAGGTGAAGCTGTTGTGGCTTTTGCGCCAACCGTCGCGTTGCCAGCTAATGAAAATGACCGCCACAGATGACTGGGTAATTATGGTTAAAACTGGGAGTGGCAAATCAGAAATGGAAAGCGACCAGGACTTACTTTCTCTCGTCAATAAGCCCCATTACGAGGACGCCGGCTTGGCTTTACATACTGCTGATCCGACAAAGTCCGAGCTGTTCGTCAATGAGAGCTGCAATCGACGGATGTCTAGGCGCAGACCTCATCCAATTGAGAATTCGATTTTGTTTGCTCCACGGGCCTCAGGATCTCGGTGCAATCAGACGGAATATTTCTGACTCTAAGCCGGCTGCTTTTTCGAATGCGTTGCCTTCGTTTTTTCCGGCTGCAGCCAGAATGCTTTTCCACAGCCCTGCTTTGCATTCTCGCCACCCACTGAGTTCTTTGGTGGCCTTATTAAGTTGGCGCCTCGATGCAACTGCCATCAGTCGGCAAAACTTTCGCGCGCACCATTGTTGGTCTCGGTCGGTCCCTTACCCGGTATGGAAAAGTGATTTATACTTGTGCTGAAGAAGGTCGGATTCTTAAAAGTGCCTTAAACTTATTATTAGTCTTCTTGGCCATCACACACAAAGATAAAATCTTTGATGTCCCGACAAATGCAAAATGGTAAGTTTTATATTGCATTCTAAACACCGAAGAAGATTTGAATCCTTCAGATATGGAGCTGGCAATCGTTAGGAAAAGATTAGAGCCCTGTGTGAATAAGATTTCTAATATTTAAAACGACAAAATGGCTTTCGGCTTGGATACTAGGGTAACATTCGACCGACTCCTGGGAGAAGCTTTCTTATTTATTTTCTTTTGCTCCAATTTCTGGCATCGTCATCATTGCAACTTCATTGTCAAAGTTGGCCAGATGGCGATGAGAGTTCTTCGGGGAGAAGCGAGAATGAGGCATTGCAAGGAAGTGCTCGAAAACTGTGGCGGGCAAATACTGAGAGCGCGAGTGCCGAACAGAGACGCTGCGGCCAGCAGTTGGGCGCTAATTATATGTAAATAGCTGGAACGGAACCGCCGCGCGAGGTGCCAGATAATTGGCCCTCATGCTAGTGCCAAGTATAGTTAACAGTTGGAGTGATCATGGGAAACGGGGCGGGAAGGGGAAATGGGAAAAATGTCAAAGCGTGACGGATTCCAAGTGCCGACGTCTTCATTGGGAAGCCTCTGCCAAGACTGCTCCAAAGCAATTTAAGAAAATTTCAATATTTCCTATAAGCAGAGGAGAATTTTTAAAAAGTTGATTAGCTTAAACTGTTACCTCGGGTTTCAACTTCTTTCAAGCAATCAACTTTACTGCTGGCTTGCTTCCCGAAATTTAAGCTGTACCTAATGCAATAGCAATTAGCTCAAATGGCGGATAAATTCCTTTGCATTTAGGTCATTAGAGAAGAAAAATTTCATAATACTTTTCAGTGTGCGTGAGAACGCATATCCCTCCGGCTCCCCCTACTCCCAAGAGACAACATTCTGAGCATAGAACAGCATTACAAAATTTCCCCAAAAACTCTTAGGAATGACAAAATAAACGAGTGGGATCCGGTGGAATAAGACGGCAAGGTGGGGACGTGGAGGATGCTCCCCACATGAGCGACAGTAACCAACACGTACAAAACGCATAAACATTCTTGCCTAAGTGAGTTTGTACATAAATTTGGACCAACTTGCGTTGCAGCATGCGTTGCAAGGAGTCGTTTTTGTGCGGGTCTCTGGATCTGGGATGGGGCTAGCAGGGCTGGCAGGGCAGAGCGGACCCTAGCTGTGAGTAGAGCGAAACTTACGCAAAAATCTATGGGACGGAAGTGGGTTTGGGCGTTTAGTCGGCTGACTCTGTTTCAGTATCGTATTTTGTTTATGTAGCCGCTGGCATATGGAGCAGTCGTACAACGGATGGATATCACTCAACTACTCTCCTTTCGTTAGCTTCAAGCTGACTTGAAGTTGACTGCTAGTGTTGAAGTCAAAATCAGGGGAATGTTTCTCTTCGAATGTTCTTAAATCATCCATCTGGAGGTAAGATGGTCGATTTCAAATAAGCAAAAGAGTCTGGCAAATTTGACTTTAAGTAACTAAAATCGTAAAACTCAATTTGAAGTATTATTTAGGTATTAATTGTTGTAGCTCATTTAACAAATGATATCCGTAAAGTTGCCGCATTTTTTAAGTTCGACAAGAAGAAAAGCAATTAATGGAGTGGGGTGGAGGTTTTTAAGTTTGAAAGTTAAAGCTCCCATCTGGAAAGCAAAGAAGTTCCCTCATAATGGAACATTGTGTTTCACATTCTTTCTTTTTTAATTAACATAGCCCATAACGTCATGATCTTGTTGATCTTCATTAAGGAAAGGTTTATATAGTTCGAGAATATTAAGACGCTAAAATGGTGATCCTGTCCATGTAAATAAAATCTTGATGTGCCAATTGGATGAAGCGAAGTTTGTATAAAATAACATCGCAGCTGCAAATCAATTTTGGGGTGTTTCTTTTAGTAAATTTGAATTAAAGTTACAGAAATTTCTGATTTAAAATGTGAGAGAGAAAAAAAAATTTTAGATACGGCAGAAGCACTCAGAAACGTAATGTAGAAATATTTAAAATTTAAAATAACTTAGACTTTACGGAACTGATTCAAAGTACCCCGTCTATTGAAATACCGATTACTTGTCCGGGAACGTTGACGCAGCTGCATAGAAATTATTCAACGAATCATGACAATATCATTGGCTGTTTGTATTATGCAAGCATTCCCGGTCCTTTGAGGCTTGATGGCATTTCCCGAACACCTACACACACGCAGCCGGAAAGAAGCAACTTTTGCAGCATATTTTATGGCGTTGCGGCTAAAGAGAGGGAGCTTCGAAGAGTTGCGCTTGCCAAAGAGCGAGGTTTGGGATAAGAGAGACTACTGCCCGCATTACTGACCTACATTAAGTAAAAATTTATTTATGCCGGCTGCCAAATTGGTTCCCCAAAGCATTGGCAGTCCGCCCCTGCCTCTTGGCCACCGGACTATGACGGATATGATTGTGGGTCGGACTCTTCCTCCCACCCTGCTCCTCGGGCTGGCTACTATTACTGCCTTTGTGGTTGTTGGCTTTAATAATAATGGTTTGTAATTTGCATAAATAATGTTTGATTTTTGCATTGATGGCCATGGATGTGTGTGTTTGGGGGATTTTAAATGATTGAAAGCTCGGCCATCATTGGGGAATGCCCGGCTAAACGGCCCGGAATTTCTGCATTTAAATCGATAAATTAATCAGCCAGGATGCGACTTAATTGGTCTACTTGGAAGTTGAAAGTGCTGTGTGTTTAGTCCACAGAATAGAGCTATTACTTAAGGCTGACTTCGTCGCCTTAACCCATTATGGAGGAATGATTTCTTAACCTTCCGCCGCTCTGTTAGCCTGCTAACAGAACTCGATTGCTGTTGCTCTCTTCCAGGACCTTGCTCTCTTCGCCTGTGGCCTTCGGCTCCACTCGGCAAATTGTCGAGTCCTGCCGAATTCCACGAACTCCAAAACGAAGCTCACTCGTCAGTCGGCACTCCTGGCGAATAGCGGCGATTATCGCCCTTCGAAGACTTTGTGTAATCAGTGCGTCCTGCTAAGCAAATTAGTTTAGTATGGTTTTAGTGCGCAACGCTGACGGTCGCGCCTGCTCGCAGTTCCTAACGCGTTAGTGCCGAAAGTCCGTGCGTTCGCGATTCGTCACTCGAGAACGAGTGCGCCCAAGCGGCGCTTGAATTCAATTCCTCGGGACAGTGCTTCCGAAACGTCGCAGGACAATAGCCCAGCACTGCACGTAAGCGGAAGAAATGGCCAGAATTGAATAAATAAATAAGTGCAAGACACAACCGGAGACGCTGGCTGCCAGCTTCAATTTGGTACTTCATTTTTCACAGCCCGCTTAACGCAAATTGTGCCGGTTCTTTCGGGCGCTAGCTCCTTGCTGGGAACTTCTGTCCTGGTTGTTTACCCTTGCATCTAGGTGCCCCTCCCCCGGTGATTGCATTCTTGGTGGCAAGTCGAGCGTGGCTCATTAAATAGCTGGCAAAAACGAGAGTAGACTGCGAGACCGAGTTGCGGAAAAACAATCACAGCATTCCTCTAGGATTGCGGAGCCTGGAAATGGCGTTAATAGAAGAGCCCTGTCGGCCCTGTGAAATTGCGGTATTTTATTCGTAATTTCGCTTTGACTGTCACGCCAATTGAATTAATTCCACCGAGGAATTTAGGATTTAATTTGACATTTAATTATTGCAATTAAAAGTGGCCTGCAAAGAGCAGCATCAAAAAAAGAACACCGGCGAGGAGGAGGTGAACGGGCAGGATTATGATCACACAGGATGAAACGAAATTACGAAATTCGGTTTGAAAAAATTGAATTACTTTTGAAAGTGGTTGACGACACAAAGCCGTGTCACATTACAAATGTGGTTGCCATAAAACCTGTATTAAAACAGCAGAAAAACAACAAAAACATTTAATTTGGTTAAACGAAACACTAAATATTTGTTAAAACAGAGAAGTGACATCAAATTTGCATTCATATATTGACATTTGGCTCCTTCAAATGTGCCAGGCACAAGGTTACATCTTTTTCTCTTTCTTATATGGGACATAAAACGAAGGCTGTAGTTCGTACTCCCGTAGGTGTGGCATTGACACGTTCTTTAGCTTTTCCCTGGGAAACCTGCTTATAGCAGAACATTCTCCTGACCATCAACTCTCTGTTCGCAGGATTTATGTCAGTCGGAATTTTTAAAAATTAAATCCAGCTCTAAGCGTTTTCGCTGGAATTGTGGGGGTAAATCCTTATGAACCGTTCGGTTTAAATTCTATTGCCTGCCTGATTCTAACGCACCTTTTGGCCTAATCGACATTTGGATTTTGTCAAAACCAGCTGCCACGCAATGCTGTCTTAGAATGTAATGCTGCCCATAGCCATTCACATCATTTCTAAGAGTATTTTATGCCTAAGTATACGCTTCGAATACCACTTTTTGTATTCCGTGCCACACAATTCACACAAAGGTTTCCGATAAACATATTAAAAATGTGCAAAAAGTGTTAAATGATTAATTCAAAACCACTGCAGAAAGGTGGCATTTCTGCCCCTGTAATAAACCTCTGAATAGTGTAATTACCAAAGAGCTTGAGGAGGTCCAACATTTTGCTTGTTGGGCAAAAATAAAAGCTAAACACGTAAAAGCTCGCCACCCATTCGTGTTACCCACATCGATGGACCAATAATATGTTTAAACAATTTTAAACCCATTCAATCTTTATGTTATTTAGTTGGTGAGATGAATAGCTGCGCATGCGCAACCTGCCGATCAAGAAATTCTCGCTTCCCAATTCAAAGTTCTCAAGTTCTCAAAGTTTCTGATATCCACGTTCAGGAGTATGGAGGACACATACAATTTTTATAGATAGTACTTCTGCCTGAAACTACTTAGAGTGAATGCAATATACCATTGTGAGACTTACTCGATTGTGAGGCTGGTTACATGGTACAAATTTTTGCTGTGGATAGAGAATGCTCCCTCGGACGGAATTCGCTTCTAGTAGATATACTCGTAAATGATAATTTACGATGCAGTTTGAGAAAATGCCGAATATTTTATTATCAGCAAACTTTGTATAAACTTTTTGTTCGTTCGCAGCTCGGAAACAGTTTGAACGCGTCAAAGTACAGGGCGAACAGCAGTCGAGGACGAGCTTTAACCAGATTAATGGGAGCCGACGTCAAGTGTCAGACTATCGAGGGGGAACGGAATAACATTTGGCTTTGTTGTGTCTACAAATTTGGAAGCGCTGCTCGCCAGTGCTAATGAATAGGTGGGGAGTATGCTGCGATGCAAAATTATCAAATAAAACGGGTAGTAGACCACACAATTACACACAATATTTTCGCATACACACGCACGCACACACGCACGCGAAACGGAAGCCGTATAAACAACATGAACATGAAATTTGGCTGCTGAAAGCATGCACATACGTAGCCCGTGGTGGAATGCCTTCCAATAAGCGACATAAAATATGCGAGGGCACACACACTAGCGCACTCGTGAGCCAGCACCAACACAAACGCATGCATATGGACTGGGTGAGGGAAATATTTTATGCACTTTATGTGGCCTGAACGCCGCTTGCTGCTGGGGATCGCTAATTAGGCAATATGCACTTGATTGTGTTATAATCATTAAAACCGGAAATGCATGGCCAACCCACATAACACAAACGAGCGCAAGCTCTCAGCCACACGCACTCACACACACGAACACACTTGTATATGCTGCCAGGTGGCTGTGAAAATTCCACAGCATACTTTCGGGCTGGGGCACCACAGCTTTGCATTTCCATCACAAAAGCAAAGAGAGATCCGCCTCCTTGGTGATTTGGTTAGTTTTCCCATTTATTTGGATAAAATGTTTTTGCGAGCACTAATTAAATCTTCGAGGGGACTTAAGGGGCGGTCAGTGGAAGGGTCCAGTTCTCCCCTGATGGAGGATGGAGAAAACTCACATCAATGGCGGAGCCCAAACAGGAAGTAGGGGAAAGCGAACACGTGTCGGAAAAATGTCTACTTGCAACAGAGTATGACAGTGTGTGTGCCAATACACTTCCACACACCCTCACAGCAGGCGTTCGTATTGCATATGTAAAGCGGCTTGTAAGCTGGCCAATTTTTTATGCATTTATGCATTTTCCCCCGCTGCAATGCAACCCACCATCTGACCGTTTTTATTAAAGTTGCCCGTTAAGAAAAGCGCAGAAACCGCACAGAAAGCACACGCCCCCAGTGCGAGCTGTTGCCCACGCCCAAGCGCCTTTTTGTAGGTTAATCAAATGCAAGACGAGGAAAATGCACAAGCTGCGTGGCAGTGGAAAAATACTGCTCCCGGCTAGTTAGTGTGAGCGGGCGTTGGAGCAAACATTTTGCCATCTTTTTGTATACGCAGTTCGCATGGCTTGTTATATTAAAAGAAATTTCCCAACCGAGGAGAGACAAGGCGAGGAAAAACAAGTAAGCATCATGGCAACTGACGGCCAAGATGGACGGGCTGTGATTTGATTTTTATTCCGAGCGATGCACAGCAGCAGCTGGCAGTCAGTGGACAGATGAATTATTGCAAATGGTGTAAGTGCCCGCCGAGGACGTGGCTCTAATTAAACATGGGGCCAAAAACACTAAAAATATGCGCTTGTAAAAGCATTCATTTTCGCTTTGCATTAGCTAAAGGTCCCCTCTTCTATAGAATAGAATCAAAAAAGGTCAGAAAATATTCGATAATAAGTAGAAATTTAAATGATTCTTTTGTATAATTATGATCCCGAAAGGATTCCAATTAAGTCAGTTAAGTTATTTTGCACTTAAAGAGTCGTACGGTTATATTCCCCAAAGAACCATCTAGAGGAATAAATAATAAGATCAAGATCCTGTTTTATAGAGTAAAACAAAAAAGGAGAGTTCAATTTATTTGTTGATTTTTTTAAAACACTAAAGTTCAAATCTATGCGCTAAACACGTAGACTTAACGTGCAAACAATGCATGTCATTTGGAAAAAGGCTTCGGAAAATATTGACAGTAACTTTCCATAACAGGATGACACAACAAAGGAAGCGTCAAAAAGATAAATAATCTAATTCAGCTGCACTCCGAGCATATTTCGATTGGCAAAAAGTGCCGGTGGAGATTAAGCTTAATTTAATGCCATTTTCTGCATATTACGGACGCCAGGAAGGTACCGACCGGAACACAAGCTCCCACCTTCCAGGTGACACAAACAAGCCCTTTATTTGGCATTCTGCTGCAGTTTTTGACACGCGAAAGTAGCAAAACGCTTCCGAAAAGGGAATGTCAAATAAAACGAAGAAAGAATGCGGATAAGAGAACATTCACCAGAAAAAGTCGAGGAAAATATGGATGCGGACGGAATAGTGAGAAAGCACGAAGAACTGTTGCTTGCGAAAGATCCGACTATGAAATACCTCCTCAGAAAGGATGGCATACTCTCTACTCTTTCTTGGGAATGATTACTTTTAAAGTAACTTTACTCAATGTATGCGCAATTGTTAGGGAAATACATTTTAACGAGAGAATAGTTTTCCGACTATATCAGAAGCTCAGTATACCCGTTTAGCCCTCAAAAAGGGTACAAAATGCAGGGTCCAGGGGGATATAATTTTGTATTTCATTTCCGAAGCAAGACAGCGGAAAAGCCCGAGAAAGCAGGAATGCCGTGGATTAGCAACTGTCATTGACAGTTGGAAATCATAGACGCCATTTAGCTGGCTGCAAATTGCTGGCCGCATTTCTTTGTCTGTCATTTAACGATTGACAGTTGGCGATAAACCGAAAGAAACGAAATGGAAAGACACGGCGGAGGGGCGAAGCCGAAACAAAGGCCGCCTCGAAATAAGCGAAATGAAAACAGGCAAAGGTAAAACACCTTCCAGCCATCAAATAGAAATGTTAATGACGCGCCCAGGCCCACAACGAGGTGTCAATCGCCCCGACTTCATACTTGGCCAAGATTGCCCATCGGATCGGGCACTCGGTGTTCTTTCCTCGTCCGGCTATTTATCATTATGACGTTGGCGGACTTGGCTGGTCTGATGTGCCTTGGGAGCAGCAGATGGGTCTCCGGGTCTCAAAGCTGTTTATCACAGATAACGGACCGATGAACGGAACAATAGCCGGACGTAATGCGATGCTTAGCCCCTTAGCCCCACCTTGAGTGCATTCACTTGGGATTGTGCCTTGATGGGAAATCGCTCAGGAATCGGTGCATTTCAGTCCATCCGCTGATATCTTTGGGTTAAAGTCCTAAAACCCATTCGGATCTAAGAGAAAGACTCTATAACAATGCATTCTCATTTTCATAAAATTTTAAGTGTTTTCATAACAAAGACAACTTCTCTTATCTTATCTTAAATAAAGATACTTTAATATTTGGTTTTCCTTATCAACATTGCCCATTACTCTGTACTCCATTAGAAAACTCCATCTTTCATTTTAAAAGTAGTAACAAATGAATAATATGAGTTTAAAAATAGGGCGTGACCGACTTTAGAAGGACATCTGCTCGGCGCAGGCGTTTTTAGGATCTGTTAGCTTGTTTTCCACTCTCTTCCTAAATTAAAAACTTTATTTATTCCAATACCTTTAACTTTCCATAAACAAGCAATCGAGGCACTCCCTAAACATGTTTCAGCTTAAGCTCGTTTTCGCCCATAAATGTCAAGTCAACTCGCTGGCCACCTGACATCCATTCATAACCTCTTTCGGGGATTCGGTTGTTGCGCTGCATGTCAGCCATTTAAGCCAATTTATTAAATAAGACGTCATTTGTCACATCGGGTTCGAGTTTTCAGCACCGTCCTGCCTTTATCTCCCTTATTCAGACCATTCTCTTTACACATTCACCCTTTTCAGCGCTTTCTGTGGCCGCTATCTTTATGATTTTCCCAGCGAGCCTGGGGAACCAGCAATCCCGGCGAACAATGCCATAAATGACCAAAGGCCACACAAAGGTGACAAGCCTCGACAAAGGAACAATAATAGGAGGACTCAGCCCGGCATTATTTTTCATTAATTTCCACCTGGTCAACTGGTTATAAGCCGGCGAAATGGACTGCAGGCAAGGATGATCAACGGTGGTAACATTAAGGAGATAAGAGTAATATTAATAACGGAAATGGCAGACCTTATTCCGACCCATCGATGAAACGACAGGACGGGTGCCGTGGAAATCAGGACCGGGGATCTGACCGCAATTAGTTGATTGCCAGCACTCAATTTCTTCAAAGATGGAAAGTGCTTTCAATTTCATAAGCGGAGAGGCCCACAACTCCTTCCAGTATCTGTCTTAACCATCTCTGGCACTTACTATGGGCCACACTCGACGGGAAATTAAACTTGTCCAAAAGTTTAAATGCCTTTCTGCCGCTTTCCGTTGCGTTGCGCTTGACTTTTGTTTTCAAGTTTCCTCAGATTCCCGTTGGCCCGGTCGTGGCTTGCCTCCCAGCCGAGTTTTCTCGCCCCTCCTCCCCGTGTGGTGCGGTAGGTTTGGGTCTTCTAATATGGCCGCTCCCAGCAATTAAAGAAAGCTCAGGCTTTCTCGTACAAGATTTATAAAATGATGCACATAGATGGGGCATATAGGCAGGGAAACTTCATCCATGAGTGGGCGGCAAATATGTAACCGAAAACGACTTGCGGTTTGAAAATGTTGCATTCCGCCTACGTGGTGGAAAATGAGGCATGTCGAGTTGCGCATACATATTGCTGGCACGACTTTCAAGGGCCACTTTGACTCCTGCGACCCTGAGTAGAGATGTCAGGCAGTTGGATGTCAAGAGGTTAACAAAATAAAGATTTTTACATGCCACATCTTTTAAACCTTAAGAGACCTTAAGAGTGCAGTTGCTACAGGGAAAAGTAAGAATTCTTAAACATCATAATAAGGCCAGTAGCTGTATATCTCATTGTAACTATTTATAACTAAGCAACGGAATCTTTTCCACTTCTACGGTTAAAGGAGTCGTGGTATACTCAGAAATATTGACCCCAATATTTTCATACCTCTCTCCCTGCTTAACGTGTTTGCATTCAAATGGATTATCATCAGGCACTTAGAGTTTTATCATCTTCGGCTGGCAATATCCTAACAATATCGGTAGTTGGGGCTATCTGCAGGCGGAACATTTAAGGGGCAACATTTGTCATTTAAAACAAAAAAGGAAGGGCAAACCTGAATATTTTCTGAAGTGTTTTCTGGAATTTAGAACATGTCTCAATAATGAAATTTCCATGTTTAGTAATTAATGGCAACAATTTCAGTAAACGGACTGCATTAAATGCGGTAAAAATTAAAAACTATCAGAAATACCAGTCTGCATGCACGGCGTATTGATTTTACTTTTTTCGCTATTTGCAGGGAAAACATCCGCAGGGGACTCTAGCTCTAGTTCAATGTCTGTAGTAATGCATTGGAAATGTTTTCCAACTTCTCGGCCAAGAGCTGAGCAACACGACGTGCATAAATATTTGAGAGTTACGGGAAATCGAAAGTGAAGCGGACGAACTTGCCCGGATCCTAGCAGGAGCAGCCAAGTGGCTGAGCAATCAGAGGACAAACAATCACCAAGCAGGACGAGGACCGAGCGAAAAGAAGAGGGCCGGACCGGCGCTAGCAAATAAAAATGAAAATTAAAATGTTTCCGCTGGCAGCGGATGCAGCGACAATTGCCGCGCGCCGTCAGGACAGGCGTGGCGCGGGGAAGCTGCAGCGGAAGCGAAAAATGCCGGAAATATCCTCACGGCTAATTGTTGCCACTGCCACCGCTGCCATAGCCTCGATTATCTTCCTGTCCTTCTCGCTCTCCCTCTGCGCCGCCCAGGAGACTGACGACGAGGGGGAGCTGCACCACCTGGACCAGCTGCACCACCAGCACCAGGACTTCGTCATCGGGGAGTCCGAGGAGCACGATCATATCGCCCACCACTTGGGTGAGTTACTGCCTATTGACTTAGTTCTGCCTCTTTGTCGAGGATATTGAATTACAGTTACCGCTAAAATAACATTATTTTTTTTAACAGATCTTTGTATTTCTCTTTGAAACGTATATATTGAAACGTATAAGATATTCAGTATTTCTTTTATTGCAATTTATCTTATTTTCAACTAAAGCAAAATCATCCAAATAGGTCATGACTACCAGGTTACTCCTGTGAGACCAACAAAGCTGTCAAATTCTTTCAGATCCACTCCCTTCTTTTCCCTTAACAATACCAAACATTTCAGAACCCTTATAAAGTCCTTGCAATACTAGTTAGTCGGCAGAAACCTTTGTTTATTGAAAAAATGGGCTGGTTAAACACCAGATGGGGTGAAACCAACACCTCACCAAGATTCGATTTATTACTAAGTGAGTGTTAAAGGTGCAATAGCCATACAATTTACGGTCAGGAGTTATTGACCATGTCATTCTTTTCGCCTGAAAGAAAATGAAATCAAATTTCTAATAGTTGTACTTACAGAATTTACTTTTAGGATATGGAAGATAGCGATGATAGAAGATAAAATCTATAAAATCTGTGCCCTTACTTAAGAAATTGGACACGCCCATTATACTTAAAAGTCCATAAAGGTTTTCCTTGCAGTCGATCTTTTCCATCTGGTCAGTATAGGAATTTGACTTATACCTTTATCTATGAAATTTTTATGTGCTGGAAGATCTTCCATCACACCAGCCAACAGATTTATCATCGTCCGACGTAATCGATCTGGGCTTTAGCAATTTTCATTTGCTTTTCCCGCTTTGTGCCGGTCGCAAGGTCAACTTTGACGCCTTTGCCAAGTGCTAACAAAAAGTTTTGAGTGGCTTAAACTCTGCTCCCTCGCCAAAGCTATCTGGATGTCATTTCAAGTGAATTATGTGACTGGCAGTCTGGCCGGGCACGAAAAACAGCTTGGCTCATTGGGCACATATTGGGGCATGTGGAAGGAGTACGGATGGATAAACGTTGCTGGATGGGCAGGGCCGGAGCACGTGCTTGGTTAGCTTTAGTGGCTGTTTAAGTTGTCATTGTCCGCCCAAAGCCCACAGCATAATTAAGGGGCGCACATGGCGTATGCGTATTCTGGCTTGTTCCAGCCCCGACGCACGCCTGCCCCTCTACCGGCCTCTGGCCCCGGCTCACACACACAAGTGACCACTTAAGTTTTCTTTGTCTATGGCTTGTGGGCAACAAGCTGAGTCCCGCTCCTTCGCATCCCAATCCCGCCATCCTTCTGCCAGGGCGGCTCAACAAGTGGACAAACGTTGACATTGCATACAATGTTCAGCCTCTGAAAATATATGCTCTTCCCTGCGAGTGTGTGCGTGTGCTGGTGCTTGTGCTGGTGTCTACTTATGACAAAAAGTGATTGACATTGTGATTGATGGCACTTTGGGTCGTCAGTTCCTGGGTTTATGACTTGACATGATGACCAACTATTCCAATGTTTGACCCATGAATTTTTCAAAAAGGGTTTTTGACTGAAATGTTCTTTTGTTTTTGCTTTTGGGGATTTGCATACGAGGTTGGAAAGTGTATTATTTGTGGTGTTTTGAGTTCTTCATTGTTACTAAAGCTTTTAAGTATGATGAACATCGGCCGGATCGACAGTAGTTCAAACTCAACCGATGTCCAGAGGATCTCCTAATTTCCATTAAATGTATTCCCAGTTGAAGAAACCTTTTTCAGAGCATGTATACGCCTACGCCTAGACATCGATAATATTAAATCACACTTTATGCGATTTATGGACACTCTCCTTCTATCAACTAGCTTTTATTATCAGACTTTTCGATGTATTTAAATGGGCGATCTGTCCGATTCAATTCTTATCTTTTCTTCAAATATTATGTTTCTAATAAATATATTTTTGTTCCATAAAAATAAGTATAACTTTTAAAAACTTTGAAAGGCACACTATGGAAAATGAGTTCACCAATTTCAAACTTCCTTTGCAAAATATGGGGTATCTAATAGTATAGAACACGGCCAAAATGTTCTACTGGTTTTTAGCTGCAATTGCCGCTGACGTTCCAGCAATTGTTTGACAATTTTTCAACAATTCCCACGGACTGCAACCATTTTCTGCCCTTGTCGCTCTGCCCTCTATGTGTGCCCTCTTTTCATCCGCCATTTTCCTGTTGTCTATGCTCCAGCGTCTGTGCTCGTTTTGTGTGTGTTGGCTTTTTCACACGCTTTCGCGCTGCAACTAAAAGTATGCAAGACTTTTTCACGCCGGGCTGCAGGTCCTTTCATCCGAGCGTATGAGCTGCCGAGGGGAGCGGCAATCGAAGGGTGCCCGAGGAGGTGGAGCAATCACGGGGCTGTTGGCCTTTGAGGGCTTGTTGTCGTTTATTTGCCTTAGTTCTTGTAATTTGTGCTTTATGGGGCCCAGTGCTGTTTTCCTCTGCGTTGTCTGTTGCGCTTTTCCCCTGTTGCCTCCTGGCAAATGCTTGTTTATGCTTCAACTTTTGTTTCCGCCGCCGTTTGAAGGTGGCTTTGCTAGTAGAATGGGAGTCAACCTGCCCTTTTCCAAATGCTCAGTCGAATTTAATTTCCCGAATGTTGACTCTTGGCCGGCGGACCAAACATCAAAAATGCCGCTCAGCTCAATTAGCCGAAACTTTCAGTTTCCCGAAACGAATGCCGAAAGCGCGAGTGAATATAGAGAAAGCGACTACACAATTTTCTGACTGCTAATTTGAAAGTCGGCTCCCTTCGCGGAACTTCATCGCCTTTGTGGGCCGGGGGAAATGCAAGAAAGTTGCATCCAAGTGTTATCAAGTTTCTCGCTCTCGGGGACGCCACATCACGTCTGCAAACTGATGCGCTGCCTAAGTTGGCTCAGAAACTTGGCCAGCGCGAGATTGATGAGCGGGCTGTGAAGGTGTGGCGGCAGATAAGACACATCTGGATTGAAGGCTTCGTCGCTCCTTCCACTGCAGTGGGCGTTGTAAATTCGGCTAATTGGAATCATTAGCCGGGCCAAAGCAAACACTTACAAGCACTTGGGAATCATAGACAAATTTGCGCGAATTCCGGGCAGTTGTTGACACCTTCCAAAATGATAATCCGGTTCTTGTCTGGCGGGCTAATAAATCATCTGGGCCGCCGGCAGGCACTGAGAGAGAATTGGCTTAAGTGCGTTAGCCAAATCAACAGCGGCTGTCTCTGGCAGCAGGTGCTCAGCTTCCCAGACGGCCCTTCCTCCACCGCAACAATCCACCTTCCACCGTAAGCCTCCCACGACCCACCGCAAACAAAGAAGGAGCATGTATATCGCTTCGCCCGTCAGAGAGGGCCTAAAGCTGTCCGCGGATTTCTGAGCCTCGCCCGCGTTTTTGTTGCATAATTTTCTGGGCTCTGGAAAGATATTCATGTATTTTCATTTGTTTGCCCTTGTTTTTTCAGTTTTGTTTTGGCTACGCCTTCGCCGTGTTTGGGCTGTTCCTGCTTCCTGTAACTGCGTGTTCCTCTTCCGGTTCCGTTCCGCTCCCCGCCCTTGCAGCTGCCACATTGTCTGCCAGCGACAATGTTCGGATGGGAAATTTAAGGCATATTTCTTGGCGCTGGGCCGCGGGAAAAATGGCATAATAAATAAATCTACTTTGAATTAGCGCCATTTACTTTACATTTATTCTCTGCCGCCGTGCAATTTATAGCGCTCAACGCACTCTTCTTCCCCACCCTGTCTTCTGATTTTTTCATTCTTTTATTTGAAGATATTCCTCCGTTTGTTGTTTCTGTCGTTTCAATTTGGCGGCGCGTGCTTTTTGGCTAATGAAGTTTTGAGGTTAGACAGCAGGAAAATGGGAGCTGCCTCGAGGTGTGCAGCTAAGTGGACACGGAATGCGGCGCGCTTTAAGATGGATTCGGGGAATATATAAACCTTAAATCAGGGAAAATATGTGTCCACCCGACCTTCTCTATCTCTCTATTGCATTGGCCAAGTTGGAGCGAATTAAGGCTATTATTTTTCTGGTATAGAACCAGACTTTCTTTTCTCGATAACATACTTACCTGACTGGTATTTTAAAGGGTTTTTATATTTTCGTTGACAAGTTGGACTGTATGTTCTTCGTCAGGTCTTTGACTATAACAGATTTAAAGTTAGATTAAGCATGCGCCTATGATATGAAATTGTTTTAAAGAAATGAAAGGTCTTTCGATTACCTATAATTTCACTCCCAATTATCTCTATGATAAACTTAGATCTAGCACAGTCCGATATGTTTATACCCCTTTGATGTTAAATTTCTTTTACATGCAGTTCAGATTCTTCTTTTGAATAACTGAGAGACTAACTATTTTACCTTGCTGGGCTGGAGATTCACCCCATTCAGCAATAGTTCCAAGATTGTATCTATTTGAATTCAAATGTATGAGAATTATCATAATTACACTAAATAGTGAAACCACAGCGAAGGAAGTTATTTATTATGCGAACTACCAAGATAGTTTCTGGGTTTCGAGTTTTAACTTAGATGCCAGACAAAAGGTTTGGTTTTATGAAACTCTATCCTTTATCAAAGATTCAGCTGTTCTATTGCTTCTTCGCTCTTGACTCAAAATTGCCACAGAGTTGCCGGCAACACAATCCCCGAGATCCGAGACTCTTCCCCTTCACTTCCTCCTTCATCAAGTCTCGCTGTGAGTCTTTCACGGTCACGTCGTATTGCCTGCAAATCACGTCATACTGAGCACAAAAAGAGCAACAAAGACAGGGCAGAACTGGGAACTTTATGCAACTTGCAGAACACTTTCTTTTGCGGCTCCGGCTGTTCCGTGCGCTGTCTCAAGCGGAGGCACGTAGCAGTCCCTGGAAACATTTGTTGGCCCGCACTATGCGTTTTCCATGTCTGCACATGGACCGAAAGCCACAAGCAGCGAGGAATTCACTGGCATGTTCTAGAGAAATGGGAAGTGACGGGCGCCTGCGAGTATGCAACACAAGATATTACAAACAGCAGCCAGACCCAATCGCATACAAAAGTTGCTAGCCAGCAGTTGATTTTTGCTCGTCCCCTTTCCCCTTCATTTCCCAACTACTCCTCGACTGTTCGTACAAGAAATCGAATTTATTGCATACTTTTGTGCGTTTGTAGCAGCCACAAAATGTATTTGCATTGCCAGCCAGCTGCGACAGATGTGGGAAAAGTCGGAAAAGCCAGACAAGCCGGAAAAGCCAGAGCAGTCCTGCCCAGTTAGCATGTGCTATACGTTTATTAAAATGCAAACGGCTTCGATTCGAGAAGTCGCAGCACGAAAATTAATTGAAAATCCAGCTCCTTTCCCCCGGTTTAAGTGTCTGTGCCTTAGATCCCTTTCCCCATCTGCGGAACGAAAAATGGAAGGGAACGGATCCATTTGTGCTATTGACTCGTCTGTCTGCACGCATGGAGACTCCCGTTCAAGGTCTCCTTATTTTTAGACGACATTATTTTATGGCGCAGCCGGTGTACCCGGAAAATAGATACAAAAGTATGTGTGCCAAGGTGCCGGGCCGAATGGAAATGGAAATCAATATCAAAATAGTCGACAACTTGGGAACCTATCATTCGCCTTGCGAACGGAACTCATCTCCGAATCGAGGAGAATGCTCTTGAATAAATCAGCAAGGCTATATCTAAAGCAAGAGCTTTAAAATGAACATTCGTAACTTTAAATTTCATTTCAATATCGGCCAATTTGTAAATATATTGGCTTGTAATTAAGTTACCCAATTCGTATTTATCCTGGCTACATTTCCCCAAGGCTGCCTGCCCTGCGGTCCGTGTTTCCCCGTTCTAAGCGCAAGCTCATAAACGTAAATCGATTTACCCATTTGCTGGCATTTGCTAAATATTTTATGACAGCTGCCTGAAAATGCATTTTACCTGTTACCTGCGGGAATCGACCCCTTTCCCCGCAATCGGTTTCAGCCGGTCCACTGATGCAGCTGCACAAAAGTCAAATTGCAACTTCATTTTGTGGCTGTGGAAATTACAAGCCGAGCGACTGCAAAGAAAGGCGCTGAAAAAGCGACCTTAAAATATTGGAAAAGTTCACGAAACGAGAAGTTTTCCTCCCTTGGTACTCTGGGCGTGTTGGGTGCGGTTTTTGGGGTTCTTAGCTTGCCAATTTGGAAGGGGAGTGCAGACTCGCCGGGGTATCTGTTTATATTCCTTACACACTTCTCACCGCAAATTGAATTTGCACTAAGGATAACCAAGCCAATATTAACTGCCTCTCTAAATGTACCGTCTTCTCGTTCCATCTCCCTACTCTGGATAAACACTCAACACTTTTCACGCCCTGCTGGCATTTGGAATGAAATCTCGCAGCGGAAATGCAAAATAAGGATGAGCTACTGGAGGACATACGCGAGGATACGGTCGTCAATGCGATTCCCGAGAAAGGTAAGACGCTTGCTATTCCAGCTCATCCTGCGATTGCCCATGTCACACTCCTTGAATTTCCATATAGACGGCGGGCGAAGGGGTCCAGGAGTGGTTTTATGTCCCTGTGACGGGCCACATGCACACTGGCTTAAAATGCATTTCTTAAGGAACAGTAGTGCCCTTGAGTGCCTTATTCGATGTCGGAGATTGCTGAAGTATTTCCTGGACTAGTGCTTGCCTGGCCTGAATCACTTTAAGGCTGAAACTGATAAATTATTAATAGCTTTTGAGGTCGTTCCGTTACCTTCTCAACTTTTACCATTTATTTTTCACGCCTTAAAAGTAAAAGTTTTGTTTTGCAGTAGTTTGAGAGCCTAACCGACTTAATTTATTACTTAAATTGCTATCCTCATAGTATACCTGCTTAAGACATGGCTTCTCAGCTATGTGGTAATCATAATAACTGAGAAGAGGACTAGGGCATATCTAATTGAGAAGACAAAACGCTTTACTGGCAAGTGAATGCGAGATAGAATGCAAAGCGAACCTCTGTATCAATCAGGACAGAAATAAAATCAGCGGCAAATGTAAAATGAGCAGAGGCTTAAACACCTTCCGATTGATTTCGTAATTATGAATATCACCCTAATTAATTGTCAGCCCCACGGTCACATCCACCTGACGTGCCGTTTTTATATTCCTTAAACTTATCCCCAGTGTCGTCACGTGCTCAGCTCCAGTCAGCATCCTGCAGCCAGCATCTAGCATTCAGTAACCCCACCCTTCCCTGTCCTTCAAACGGCGCCATTAAGTCAGTTGCTTATCCCCGCACTTTCCCGCTTTCCCGCTTTCCCGCCGCCCTGAACCCTCGAGTGTCTCTGAATACGAGTCGCCCTGCTCTTGTAGCAGTCTTTTTTCTCGCTTTTAAATTTTATTTATTGTAAATTGTATTTGAAACGTGCTGAGGTTCAGTTTTCTCTGCAGAGAAGACGGCGGACAAATGTCAAGCTTGCCCTTGGCATGGATATGGGGTATATGTATATAGATATACATATGGGATATAGGAGAAAGTGAGGCAGCCTGCATGCGAGTGTGTGCGTATATCTCGAACACATCTCGTGCGGGCCTGTGTGTGTTGGTGTGTCGTGCAACTTAATAGAGTTGTTTAGCATTTAAATAGCGCCATTTACTTGTTGTTGCTGCCCCTGGATGTTGCTGTTGCGCTTATTAAGTTGGAATGCCAGTCAAGACGACTTGACTTAATAAAGTTGGCTTAAAGCAGCGGAAGGAAAGTGGGAAATTGTGCCTGGTGAGCTTGAGAAAGTGGTCCATTAGGCAGTGGAAAGAAAGCCAAAGTAGTTAATAATATCAAAAGAGAGCCAAGTTTAAGCATGAGTACTTCAAGTATTCCAATTGCATCTGTCCTAAGCACTTTAAGCTGTCCTCGGCGAGCACTCCCGACGGGTTTAGGAGCTTCCCTTTAGCTGTGTTTTTCAGTAGCTAAGCCCCTAAAGAACAGGCGCTAAGCGGCGATTTGCAATTTCTTTGCCTACATCATAAACATTATGCTAAGCACCCACCGCCAAGGAGGGATGCGAGGGTTCCTGCGGCGTATATCCACTTCAGATACAAAGCAAATGCCCATTAAATCCTAATTTCATATGCCCATAAATCCACTAAACAATCACACTTTCAATCCCGAAGACGAAGCGCCAAATATGTAACAAATTTCCACATATTCACACACGACCGCCTCGCAGAAAGTATCCCATAAAGGCCCCCACACACGCAGGGATATCCTTATTGTGTAGATGTATCAATAAGCGGAGGCAAATCAAATGAGTTGGCAAAAGGCGGCAGACGATGACAAAACAGTTTGCGATGAGTCTCAGCACAGGGACAGGGATCCTTTGACGAATCGAAGGCTGCGTAATCGAGCTTATTAGTGGGGCTACTTGGGATTTGGTTTTGCTTATTTTTATCAAGTGAGGCGCATTTTTCGCAATGTGGCAGCTAGGAAATGCTCTTTCAAGTGTGATTCCTAGGAGGTGGATTGAGATATTCCAAAGGGGATTTGAGATATTGATTTGAGTTTTTGAATTTCTGGATATTCAAATAAATTTAATAAAAATTAATATAACTCTTTCGTTAAGAACTTTCGGTCCAGAATTTCATAATTTTAATAATCATTGAAGGCTAAAATAGAATTCATTAGGTTTTTTCCTAAAAGAAAGATTTAAGGAAGACTTAAATTACCGATAGCCTCAAGTCAATCGATAGTTTTGCCACCTTTCCGATATGTAACAGATGGATGTCCCACGAACTTGCTGACCAAGAGTAGGACTACTCCTAAGCGGCTATTACGTTTACCCAACGAAAGTCAGGGTATCGTTGACAGCTCGAAACGTGATGTTCAGGAAGAGATTAGGCGACAATAAACGGCAGCGTGGGGACACACAAAAACGACGAGCACAATGTCCTTCGCCCGGCGTTGCGCATTTTCCCCGCCGCAATTGAGATTTACGGCCGCATCAATAAACATCAAAAAACTCGCCCCTCCACTTTCTTGGCCATCACCCTTGCTTATCGCCTTGTTTACGCATTTTAAGTACAAGATTGTTATGTGTTGATTTGCCTTAACCGATGCGTGCCCCGCATATGAGAAAAGGCCTCCGTCTGGCAGAGTTTTACTCGTTTTCCTGCATACATGCTCTTATATGTTTTTATTTTATTTCATTATTTTATTCTGAGGCGTATGCGAAGCGCAAACTTCGTTGGGGTTTCCGAGCATGTCAGCGACAAACAAGAGCAAACACAAACATAAAGCGGCGGCGTGAGGCGGCTAAGTTTTAAGCCCCGTCCCGCCCTCGGATTTCGCCCATCCGCTCAACGCGCAGCCAAACCACAAATCTGTTGCATACTTGCGGGCGCGCCTTTAAAGTCAACGCGCTTTTCCGACGCTTCGCTGAGCATTTGGCGGCAATGTGGGTGGGCGTAAGAGATGTGTGAGTCCGCAGGGTCTTTGATTGACTGGTTGAGAACTGGCTGACAGGCAGGCCAGTCTAGGCCATGATTGCTGATGTTGACGAGGGTAATGCTAAACACGGCGGAGTGGTACCCAGCCCACTGATATCTAATCTCAGACAGGGGGCTCAAATTAAATTAAATTAGATGCAATTTTCATTTTCATTCATTTATTCAAAGGCCAAAAGGAGGGTGCGAGCTACATAACTACTCGAGCTCAAGGTTTCACAATCCCCTTCGGGACTGAGAAAATATTGTGAATGCTTGGCTGGTAATATAAACACGAGACGAGATGTGATGGCAGAAGATGGGTTTCATCACACTATTATAGCCGATGCATTTTACTGAATCTCGAAGTTCACATGTCGTACGATCCTGATCCAGAATGTATATGTACAGCCTCTTTCTTTCCAGCTTTGTGTTCTTTTGCATTTTAAGGGAATGTTAAAATGCATAGCCCGATAAACTATTAAATAATGTTGTAAATTGTTTGAGTGCATTTTCCTTTTCAAAGTTATGGCCATTTATTGATTCAGATATAGTAAATAGCATGTTGTTCTGACGGCCGAATTATCGTAGAAAAAAGGATCTAACTTAAACATTGCGTACATAAGTTAAGCTCCCCTATTCTAAGACAAGTTTGACCTCGGATTATTATTACTGGTATTGCTCGAGTATCACTTTCGAGGGGTGCTCTTTTGTCCATTCGAAACAAAGGTAGATACAGATGTTTCAGCCCTCGAATATAGGAAACAATCTGATATATACCTTGTTCTAGATTAGAAGAAGAACAAGTCACTACTCAGTATTCTCTCCTCCCTTGCAGATCTTCCAAAGTTCGGGGAACTCCTGCAGAACGTGACAGTGCCCGTGAGTCGGGAGGCTATACTCCAGTGCGTGGTCGACAATTTGCAGACTTACAAGGTGAGTCTTTATTTAACCGTATTTTTGAATACCTTCGATACCTTCGATTGTTTTGTTTCAAAATTGTAAAAATATCCGCTGCCATATCTTTGTTAAACGTGACCATTTTGATGATTAGAAACTGAGAGTGTTGCCCAAATTCGGTAGCTACACAGGTAGATTTAAATGTACAATTTACGGCATAAGAAGACCAACCTGATCAGTGTGCTCCGTCGGTTATTATCCATTTGCACTTCATCGACTGGAACGTGGCAAAGTTTGGGACCTAGTTTTCCACCTTTGCGTGTCGTGCCTTTAGGCTGAGTTGACCCTTTTGTTAGGCACGTTCCGGGCCCATGGGCGTCACTTTGATTTCGTGACACATTAAAAGGTAAACAAAACGAGAGAAAAGTCCCTATAAATTGCCGATACGAAAGCAACAAATGGATTGTATCTGGCCAAGTTAATAGAGTCCTTTGTGCAGGATTGTAATGTCCACGTTATCGGTATCCCGGTTGCGTGGGGGCAGACAAATTGAAAGCTAGGGAAATTGATGTCTAGAATGCGTCAAAGACAACATTTTCTCTACCTTAGAGCTTGTGTGCCCGGCGAGGAAGTTGGGATTGGGTTTTGAAGTCGAGTTTGTTTGATCGCCAGAAAACGAAGCCGGACTGGTAACAACCTCAGTAACCGGTGATCAAAGAGAACTCGGCCAAAGATCGTTGTTTATCACACTGTAAGTTCCCTTGGTTGAATCAGATTTGAAGCCATGTTAAAAGCCTTCCTGACCGTATAGCAATCTCAACTCCGAGCTATGCAATCAGGAATACTCAGAATGTAGCACAAACATCGCGGTAGGTAGCAGGAAGGATGAGCTCGGCAGTTTCTTTGAGCTATATTTCATAATACCCCCGATGACAAAGGCGCCTCAAGGAAAGGTCTTTGTCAACCCGAGTACTAAGAATATAGAACAAAATTGAAATCAATTTTACACGGCCCTCCTCTCTGGCACAGTTTCCACTATTTTGCATCGGTTAGGGGCATTATCCGAAAAGCTTTCCACCTTCCTGGTGACATTTTCCCACCTGGCCTGCCCCTGGGCGTAATAAATGAGCTCCGGCCACGCCACTGGGGCATTAGCATAGGGACGAGGAAATCGCTGAACGTTTTAGTTTTACAACTCAAATCTACCCAAATATAAACGGCTTCTCTTACTGCAATATACTACTCGTACATTTTCCTTTTCCGTTCTCGTAGATTGCGTGGCTACGTGTCGATACACAGACCATTCTAACGATACAAAATCACGTCATAACCAAAAATCATCGCATGAGCATAACTCACGCCGAGAAACGTGCCTGGATTTTGCGTATACGTGATGTAAAGGAGTCCGACAAAGGCTGGTAATGTATCCACTATCCAGCTGCATGTTTCCATATCTGCCTCTTAGGATATGGCAGTTCCCCAAACGGTGCCCTAATTGCAATCCTCCCCCGCCTGCTGCTGGCCAATACTTAATCTAATGCCAAAATCTCACTCCCTCGATTACAGGTACATGTGCCAAATAAACACGGATCCCATGAAGAGTCAAGTGGGCTACCTGGATGTCGTCGGTGAGTATGGGACTGAAGGTTGCACACTCCACATTTCTAGCTTACCAAGTAGACCAGAGCCCTGAAATGGAATTGACGCATGTGGGTAACTTTGAGGGCCTCGAATGAATTGTAATTTGCCTTGAGTGCCTCGGCGAACGCTCAACTCGGAGCCATAACAAAGTTGCTGTTGATAGTTTTTCAAATTGCACTAATTGCTCAGCCAAGTGGCGATTGGGGCTGGAACTGAGTTAGGGAAGCGAAGTTGTGCAACTTCCAACGATATTTCTCTCGATTGGATCTAATTGCGAAAAGAAGAAGCGAATACTCGACTTAAGCCGAGCTCCATGCCAACGGGCTTTTGTTGGAAAGTTTTCACTTAACCAACACATTAGTTCGGCCCACAAACGGCAGAGAGCGAAAGGTAATGAAACAATTTACATGCTACGTGCACCTGTCCCATCCACATCCACATCCACATCCACATCCATGTCCATGTCCAGGTCGTCCATGTCCTGGCGTTAATTATTCAGACGACGTAGACGTCGGAGCGGCACCGAAAAACCTCAGAGCCCACCGGGTGGGCAGATCCGCCCGTAGGCGAATTTAAAATGGATATACCACCCAGTTCGGAGCTGGGGTTTTGTGTCTCGTTTCCGGTTGCCCCGCACCATCCGCATAAGTAACCACTCTGGTTGATTGTGTTTTCATTGATGTTGAAATTCATTAAGGACCCAGTCGTCCTCCTCGATACACTGAGCACAACGGCGGCTTGCCACGAAAATAATTTACACACAACCGCACTAAGTCCATAAGCAAAATGGCAAGCCGCTTTAAATCAGCGCGGATTTCCCAGCTGCCACTGACAAAGTGCTCGATTCTGTGGTGTATGCTTTTCCCTGCTCCACCCACCTCCGCCCACGCCTCCACCCAAACCAACCGCCCGCCCATTCAGCCCACGCGATGGCAACCAACTATTATTGTTGTCAGCGCGGTTGTAGTTTTCCACACCGCGAAATAAGCAAATAAACGGCGGCGTGAAAGTGATCAGGACTTATAAGCCAGTCGCTGGAAAATGGAAAAGGGGAGCAACAGGGTCGGGATGGTTAAGGGGAGAATAAGTAATAAGTAGTGACCTCACCTTACTGCGTTAAGCCTATTTCATAGCCATTTTACTATTTTTATATTAAGAATCTACCTTTCAACTTGATAACGTAACATTTTCAACGTCCTGGGAACTATTCGCCATAGTGCCTTCGATTTCCATTTGTTGGAGAAATAACCTTTTTAACTGTTAAGAATAAATAGGTATACCTAGTTCTTTATCAAGAATCTATTCTTCAACCATGCTTTAATATTTAAGATTTGACTGGCAGACATGGAGGCTTAGATACTTGATCTCGAAAGCAGACAGCTTCCCGGGAATTCATATTATTCTGAGAATACCACGTAACAATGTGAAAAGTATAGATTATTTCTGATAATTTGAGATATGTTCAATGGGGGATGTACAAAGTTAGGGCCTTAAAGAAAGATTTTAAATCAGGAAAATATGCGCAATTCAAGCTGCAATCTAACTTTTGGCTTTTAGTGTTAGCCTCGATAACCGAATTGACGCATTATTTATCTCCGCCATAAGCTAGTGCTATTCGACGGGCAGTGTTAGATGCCGCCCAAATTAATCCTCTTTCTAAAAATCTCACAAAATCCATAGTGAAAAAAGAAGCAAACTCCAGAAAACTACAGTCAGGAAACAAATTTTGAACAAATATTCGTATTTTTCTCGCATTTTCGGCGCTGAACTTTCACGTAGTTGTTTTGCGTTGTTAGTCGGCAGTTTGTTGTTTTTGGCGATGATTGTTTTTGCCCAACCGTATGCATGGGGATCAGTGAGGAAGCCAGCCAGGCATTGAATAATTTATACAAAGCAATATGTTCCCGCACTGACGTTGTGCCCGTGGTTAAGTGGGCTTAGGCTGCCCAGCTGCGACTATCTGAAGAGTTGCACTCGGGTGCACGGATATGAAAAAGCCTAGAAACAGGATGAACCGATTAAGTCAATGATATTTCCAAATGTGATTATTGTCGTTTTACTGCGTTGGCCGACTACTTTCCTAAGCACACTTTCAAGTTGAATAGTTAAGCGTTAGAGCTTTAAGCTATCAAAGGCAGTCCGGACTCCAATCGGTGGTCGGTGGTGGGTCCTGAAGTCAGCCCAACCAACATCTGACGTTTACCGTCATCTCAATCCAATTGAAATTAATTTCTGAAACGGCAATTTAATCACACATCATTTCACCTGATTTCATAACTTATCAACGCACGCCGTGCACACGAATATCGGCGAAGAAAAGAAATTGCCAGCCACGCCCACTCTGACCGCCCGTCGGTGTAGCCGCTTTGTGTGACATGAGTCGAGCTATTAGGGAAAGTCAACACAGGGAAAAAGCAGCTGGAGCGGAGCCTACATCCAATTTGTAGGACACGACATATACGGCTGTGAGGGCCGGGTGAAAAGTCAAAGTACATTTTGTAAAACATGCACATCATTGTTGGCATAAAGACTTCGGGCCACGTTGTGTGAGTCATAACTTGGCTGTCGGCGGCTTTCCTGAAAGAGGAAGCTTGTGGAAGCAGCGGATTTCAAAGGCCACAAAAGGAAAACTGAGTGCTGTTAATAGAGGCAATCATTCCGGGAAACTAATTCTATTTTATAGGGAGTGCACCTGAAATAACTAGGTTGACTTTGGTCGATAGTTCTTAAAAGATTCAACCAGAAATAAAAGGTTCTTTACAGACACTCAGCTGGGTTTTATTTAATTTCTGCCACTTACTTTAACGCTTATTAATTGTTTGTTAGGAAAATGCAGGATAGTTGAGCGTAAAATTATAATTGCACCCCAAAAGAGCATACAGACGTGCAGTCCTTCAGTTTTCTATGGCATCGAAATGCCAAATGTTCAGAGTTTTCCTTTCTAGCTCTAGGTCTGCCAAGCAAAAACCTATACTGAAACATTTTATTTAATTATGGCTTCTCCTGGACTGGAAATGACACAACGAGGACTAGTTAGCTATAGCAAAGGAACCCTTTTAATTGAGATTAACAGAAACGTTTCTAGAATTACTTTTTAACTTCTTTAATAACTCAATAACGATGCCCCTGTTTCCTTTTCCTCTTTCATGCAAACAACTTCGTCGCCGCTAACAACATGGTTCTGAACCCGCCGCACATTTCACGCAAACAATTCGGTCGCTGTCCCACGCTGCGTATGAATAATATGCCGCTTTAAAACTCCGTATCTCCGCTTACGTGGCGCACGTGCTCCGGGCATCCTCAACACAGTTCCCCCCGACATACTGGACTACCCGACCAGCACCGATATGGTAATCCGTGAGGGCTCCAACGTAACCCTCAAGTGCGCCGCGACGGGATCGCCAACTCCGACGATAACCTGGCGACGCGAAGGTGGCGAACTGATACCACTGCCAAACGGCGCAGAGGGTGAGTTGCATGTTTCCGCAGCATTAAATTCCATCTCAAAGCATTTTAAAGTTACTTTCCTCTGCGTGTAATTAACTCGTGTGTGCTGGGCGACAAGCAACGAGTCCCAGCTCCATAATTTGCTGTGTTGTGCTGAAGGAGGTAAAATGGTTTGATTGTTTGGCACTTGAGCGGAATCGGGTTTCCTCTAATAGCTGCCACATGTGGAGTGGCTTGTAATTAAAATAAGATAAAAGGACATCACCAGATCGCAGTCGGCTTGAAGCTTGCTTCGACCAGGAAATATTGCACTCATAAATTTATTGCCAAATGTCGAGGACTTACGGCAAACTAAATGGATGCAATAAGGGGAAAAGAAGGCGGGAGGGGACATAGCTAACATGTTGAATATGTGAAATTTGAATTTTCCGGCTTTGTGTTGGAGTTGTCTGAAGGCTTTCCCATCTGTCGAGTCCTGCCAACGTGGAAGCCATGCACTGAGGAAAAACTGTGAACTGAACCCGTAGGGCTTCTAAGATTCTAAGAAGATATTTATTTCAGATAAATAAAGCTGATGCATTATTTAGTTAGAAGATTAATAAGTTAGTCTAAAGTATTAAAAAAGGGATTATTAAAAAAATAGTTTAAATAGACAGACAATATGTGAATCTAGATCAGTGAGAAAATTGGATCTTTTTCCGAGTTTTTTCATAGTGCTAAGGATTTTCAGAGTAGCATGAGCTTAAACATGAGAACGCGATGATTAGCTGCAGGATTAGTTTTGACTTCGTGTGTATGTTGGAGTACTGTGCTCCATCTGGGGCTGAGGGAGAGTTCCTTGGGTGAAATGGGGATACAAGATGCCGGAGACATTCCGGCTGACTGTGGGAATATGGCAGCGAAAAGTGACTGTAGATATGCCAATCGGTGCCTCCGATATTAATCGCACGCCATCGTTTTTTCTGCTCTTTCCAACTCTATCCCCAGCCGTCGCCTTCAACGGATCTTTCCTGACCATCGCCAAAGTGAACCGGCTGAACATGGGCGCCTATCTCTGCATCGCCTCCAATGGCATCCCGCCAACAGTCAGCAAGCGTGTGATGCTCATTGTGCACTGTGAGTATTTGGGGCGGGGCGGCCCATCAATTTTAGCATATTTAAATATTTATAGTTCTGCGCCAGGCACTGGCACCGCATGCTGCTCCTGGGGCATGGGCCTGGGCGGGGAGCAGGGCGCTCTAGACGAGACCGCAGCGGAAAACACCAACCAACAAACACCAGACACAGTCACAGACTGCGACTGGACTGCGACTGCGACTGTGACACACACAAAGACCCACTCGAAATCTTGCCATGCTAAATATGCCCTGCATTTTAATTTTCCCGGGGAGAGGCCGAGTGCGAGCTGAAGTGTGGAGGGGTGGCTGGGAAATGCTGTATACTTTTAGGTGCCAAGCATAAAGCAAATAATTAAGTGTGTGCTCGGCCCCCACCCCTCCGCTTCAGCAGCAGCTAGTTAGCATTTTCAGGGCACTTTGCCCGGCTCCTCTCGCTAATTAAATAAAAATTAAAATTGCTCAACAATTTGTTAGGTAAGTTCACGGCACATATTTAAGCCGGACCGCCGGAGAAGTTGCTCTGGAGAGTCCTGGCCGGTTAGCCAACCACAACTCTGCTCGGTTCGCTTCGTTTCAGTTTCGATTGCAAAGCATTTTTTGTGGCTTTGCTATAAAATTAAAAAGCAATTAGTTGGAAACAATAAATGGCAACCGCAGCGAATTGCCAAACGGCAGCATAAAGCACTAGAAAAACAATAACGATAACGAACGGAATTTCTCTATAAATGGGAATTCTTTGTTCCACGTGGGGGCGCGCCCACACCTTATAACAATCGCTCAAACATTCCGCACCTGACGCAAACCTCCGTACCACATATTTGCCATCAGCTTTTCATTCTTGCTTTCTGACGCCTGGCTGTGGCATTCCTCTCCTGTTTTGCAGTTCCACCCATGATTTGGATACAAAATCAATTAGTCGGCGCTGCCCTTACCCAGAACATAACCCTGGAATGCCAGTCGGAGGCGTACCCCAAGTCCATCAACTATTGGATGAAGAACGATACGATTATCGTGCCAGGTAAGTGTTCCGTCGATATTTTGTTAGGGAGTCAGTTCCTATCCCCCGCAGTCAGTTCCTATTTATTAGGAAACCTTTAATAACGTGGAAACTTAGGAATCAGACCCGCTAAATCGAAAATGTTACCTAGCCAGAGAACTGAGAGAGATTTGTTATCACCGCTTCCTCACTTAGTATCGGATAATCCTTTCCTCCAACGTTTACCAATTCCATAAAGGACTTAAAACCAATCGCGAGTAATGAAGACTATTTTGAGCTTGCGCTAAATTAAAATAATTTTTAGACTTTCTATCTTAAATTAAAAGATCTTATTTCTTAAAGTGCTCATTACTGAAGCCAGATGATGGTAAAGGGATCAAAGTACAACTCAACCTACCTGCAATGCTGAATGAACTGATTTCAAGTTTTATGTTATATTAATATCTGTCCCCATCTGCGGTGTCTTGTCCCAGTTCAATTTCAATGGTCTAAGGCTGCTCTCGGCCCAACCTCTTGTCCAGAACGTTCAATTTAATTTTCCAAGGGCCTTTAACGACGGATGGGTCCATCTCTTCATTTAACCTCTTCAACTCTCCCACTCATCTTCACTGAGAAATGGACTGAGCACGATGACAAAAAGTGCTGCAGAGCACAAGTAAAAAGTGCTGGAAAAAATAAACATTGAGCCGAACACTCGAATCCGCGGTCGCAGAATAACTGCGGTGGACTCCATTCACGACCACTTAACCCCTGCCACCCAGATGGACTGGCCGGGAAAAGGCATCGTCATCGGCATAGAGGCCGGCGGAAAAAGTCACAGACATGCAGTCGGTATGCTTTCCTCTTTCCAGTTATTTTCAAGTTGTTTTTTGCCAGCGGAGAAAATGGAAAAAAGTGATTGAAAATGACCTCAAGTCAGAAGCAGTTGCCGGGAACTGTCCGACCGCCGTTGGATTTTAATGGAGTTTTCTGTTTTAGTTTTGAGATAGTCACAAGATCCATAACCGCAAAAAGCGTTAACAAAAACCAGCCAAGTGTTGCTCTTTTTCTACATTTTCTTATTAGCCGGTGAAAATGTCCAGTCCAACGAAAGCCAAATCCAGAAGGATACGAATATACGACTACTCCCCGATTTCTCGCCCCCGAAACCCAATTATTTGTAATCAAGAAAAGGGCCCGAAATCTACATCTCTGCTTGGGCCATCACAATGGCATTTTGCTGGAGTAATCAGTCGCCTAACCGGCATGCATAACAATTACCGAACCTGGACAAAACGTAATGCTCGGCTTAGTGCTACTAAATCTAACCGACATCAAACGTAAATCAAAACCTGCATGACAAACAAAAACGGGACAGGCAACAATACCGAGAACAGACTTGTTTTTGTATAAATTAAAACGAGCCATTTGACAGGGGCAGAAGCGTCCTGAAATCCTGCCAGGATGCCGAATGCCGCATGCCAGGACTAGCCCGGGTCTGCCCCCGTTGGATTCATTTGAGCTGAGCTAAGCCGAGCTGAGTTGCGCTGAGCTAGGGCGAATGCAAAGTTCTTTTCTTAGTAAGTTAAATTACTTTGACAAGAAGCTTCGTCGCTGCCTGCGGAGGAAAGGGTCAGATAGGAGTTCAGTACAGTTCAGTTCAGTTCGAAAAGGGGTCAGAGTGCACTGTGGTCTCAAGCCCTCTAATGCTCCTCTTTCAGGTGAGCGCTTTGTGCCGGAAACCTTTGAATCGGGCTATAAAATAACCATGCGCCTGACCATATACGAGGTGGACATCCAGGACTTCGGGGCATATCGATGTGTGGCCAAAAACTCCCTGGGCGACACTGATGGCGCGATCAAACTGTACCGTAAGTATTGGAGTAAGTAACAATAACTGCATGAATGGCACAACAGTGCCAATAACAATAACCGTAACCATAAACCGTAAGCCGTAAGCCGTACGCCGTACACCGTAAACCGAAACAACAATGGCCATAAGTCAGAGAGCCCATGGCAATTAGGCGCAAACTATTTGCCCGGCCGGAGCTTTTAATTAATTTAAGTCAATGACTCTGCGTGAGCCGACAGCAATGTGTGTTTGCCTGATAAATTCCCAAAACAAAGGGTCAGTCGGGGTTCGAAGGTGACCATTTTCCCAGTGTCAGTGATTGATTTACGAGAGGGCTATTTCGGGTAGTAACCCTTCATCCGCACGTGGGTAGGGAAAATCAAATATGTGGGGAGTGCCTGGAAAATGCCGAGCAACCCCTAGCAATAAATGCTGATGTTAAGATGAGCTTTCCCATTATTATATTAAACAACCAATTTCCTTAATTATCAAATCAAAGATGCCTTATTGAAACAAAAGGCAATATCAATACCAAATTGTGATCTAAGAGGGAACATTAAAATTAAAACGTCAGGCATAAAGGGTTAAGGTTCCGTGCTTACCTCGATAATGTTGATACTACTATACCCTGCTAAGTTCCGTTCTATCCTCCACATATTGCTAAAACCACTCATATTCCCTTGCACAGATATTCCCCAGACCACCACGATGACGACAATGGCTCCGACCGTTTCGATCAACACGGTGCCCGTGGTCCTTGTGAAGTACAACAAAGGTGAGGCCCAGTTAAGAATAAACCCGTACATTCGTATGTAACATCTCCGTAATCGCAGAACAACGCTATGGCAGCAGCCAGAACGCCAATAGCAATCCGTACAACTTTAACTCCGGCAGTGGCCAACAGAACACGAAACTGCAGCGCGGCAAGGCCAGCAACAAGGGCTTGGATCAGTCCTCCTCCGGACTGAACAATGTCTTCGTAGGGGGCCACGTCCAGCCTGTGGAACTCGCAGGATCACCACCCCTCCTCCTCGAGGGGAAGGGATCACCACCAGCAGCAGCACCACCAGCAGCAGCAGCAAAACCACGGTGAGTTGGGCTCCTCCTCGAATCCCCGGGGAAACGGCCATCTAAGCCACTCCGGCACAGCAATTGGTGGAAAATCCTTCTCCAGGGGCGCTCTAGCACACCATAAATATTTCGCCATTTATTTTATGCTTATGACAAATCATAACGACTTTAGCTGCTTGGCTTAAGGGTCTCTGGCATGTCGTTGTCGCCACTTGTTAGATATAGATACTTTTGGCTCAAGCTGCGAGAGAGCTCTGGCCATGAACGGCACAGACTGACTGGCCGATACCGTATACCGTTGCACTAGTTCACGGTTTTGGTTGTCTGATTGACCCTGACTACTACAGAAGTAAGGGGATTCGATTGCATTATTAATGGATCTACTTTCGTAAAGTAATCGATAGCACACCCGATACTATTGATGGTTGCAATTAACAGATGCACCGTTGCTAACAGCATTATCGATTGTCGAACATACCCTCAACCCAAACGCGGTTGCTTAGAAATATTTGGCAAATCCATGTGAGAGAATGGACTGGAACCTTTTCCTTTCGGTCTGTTGGTGTCTATTTCTGTAGCGGTGTCAGGGAAAATACGACTTTCTAGCATGCAACGGCTGGGTTTCTGGGATTTCTCCCTGCTCCATCCAATTCTAGCCCAGTTGCTGAGTTGACAATGTGTCCGCTGGAATGTGCTGCTAATGCAGAGGTCGTAATGTACAATCATAATAAATAATAATGGGCTCCCGCCATTTGTTCTTAGCCGAAAGGGGAGAAATTCTTAGCCCGAGGTGCGAATGAAACTATCGAGCTGTTGGGCTAAAGCACAGGGAGTCTCCTCGGAGCAGCTGCCAATCGATAAGCATAAAGTTTTACACTTGCTTTCCGATTTCCTGCATGTCCCGCATTTCCCGATCACACAATTGGCGACAATGCTCCCCCTTCTGTGCTTTCCGCAAGGACGAATGCATAAAACTTTACAGGGCCTTTGCTGCGATGTGGAAATTTTCTGCATACGCGCTTGACTAAAAATAAAATGCACTCGACAAAATCAAATCGAACAAATTGAATATGAGGGTGGGCGTGAGCTGCTGAAGGGGCTGCAGGGAAGGGCACCAAAAAGCGCAATATAAAAATAGCAGACAAATTGCACACAAGGCGTCAAGGCGGTGGAGCTGCCCGTGCCCCTGCCCCTGCCCCTGCCCTTGCCCCAGCATTATCCCGTCGTTTTTGGCAAACGCAAGCAAAAATGTTGCATCCCTCGCAGGATGGCGATGGCCATCCGTTTGGAAGGGACGGGGCGGGGAAATGGCGAAACGGGTGGCTCTTAAGGGGGTGGTAAATGGGGCTCTTGGATGCGGGTGCTACAATGACGACAACTTTCAAGCGCTGCATGCAACGTCGTAAGCGCTGCGTTTACAGTTAGATTTATTACCTGCTAGATGTTGCACATATCGTGCCAGTAGGTGGGATACCATAGCATACTATTCTACAGTATAACCACCCATTTTCGTGGAGAGGGAGGAACGGCGGGGAGGGTGTGGCTTGTTCGCTTATCGTTGCCGCGTTTTGCATATGTCGCGACTGTTTTTGCTCGGCCGCTGACACTTTAAGGCGGAACAAGCCGGCGACAAGCAAAGTTTCATGACCAAAGCGACATTTCCCTGCTCCACACCAACTCTTTCCCGGAACCACGCTCATCTGCTAGCGGGGAATGGGAAATGGGGCAGGGAAAGTGATGCTATCATTAGGGATTTTTGGGATTCGGCAAATATTACATGAACCACATTTTTAAAGAGTGGCCTCATTTTGATCAGATAAAACAGTTGAAGGGGAAACAAACTTCAGCTTGATTAAAGTTCGTCACCTTGTACCTTGTCCTTGTTAGTCGTCCTTTGAAACATTCAAGTCCTTCGACAGTTTCAATAGCAGGGAAATACTTTGGGCTGAGTCTGAAATTAGTCTGCCACAATCACTGAGTATAATAACACGACCTAACCACAGTTTCTATTAAACTGAAACGGCCGAGTTAACCGAGTGAGTTTATCATGAGTCTAGATGACCAGATGTCCAGATGTCCGCATGCCAATTAATTTCAATTTCCAATTTCAATGGATTCGAACGGCGCGGGCATCCTGCTCCTCGTCCGCTCGGTCGGCGCTTAGTTGACCCGAGGCCACAAACCGGTGTCCCCATTAAGTGCTGCAGATGCACTCGGCGCGCCACTTAAACTGTCATTAAAATGTTGCAATCAACCACAGGAGCTGCTGCTGGCCGGCTCCTCCGATGTCGCTGTCGCTGTCGCTGTCATATTTAATTTGTGCGGACAACAGCAAACAATATGGCACAAATTACAAGGAAATGCAATAAAAGAAAATTGCACTGCTCCGGCCAGGGAGCTCGCATGCGAAGCCAGGACTCGAACCCGAACTCGGACCTTGGATTCATGATTACTACAGCATTCAGTGTCTGGCAATAATTTGCCTATAATTTGCACGAGCCGGCCATCCAGCCGTGCTGCAAGTGAAAAATGATGAAGTAAATGAAATGCAACAGACAGACAGCGTTCGAATGGCCGTCGCGTGCCGCGGGCTTTTCATGGGTGCCGCGGAGGCTTCTTTCGGGGGCAAGTCGTCTTCGTCGTGGAAAGCAGGGAAAGCTGAAAAGGCGGGAAAAGCTGCACAATAAATATAACGCACGGAGGGACCAAGTGAGTCTCGAGTGCGGAGTGCAACTGGCGCCTTTTCCTCATTTCGCTTAAGTGCAACAGGCTCGAAATCGAGGTGTGAAAGCCAAAGGCCAAATGGAGTTCAAGCGGAGCCCCAAGCTCAAGCACCCTCCTCCACTCTTTTCCTGCGGGTGGATAGAGATGCGAAGCTGTTTATTTCTATTAGCCCAATCGCTCCCCAAGGATCACCCGGGGAATTATGCTAAAATTACTTAAAGTTTCCAGTAGTTCTGAGAGAGCTTCGCTGAGCTAAAGCGTTTTTCTTCGGCAAAACAGGACTTTCTTTGCTTTCTTCGCCAAGGCAGCACCTGCCTCTCGCCCGTTTTCGTCTAAGCTCTTTAAAGACACCGCTGGGACTTTCCCAACCCCCATAAACACATGCTCAAACGTCAATAAAAATCAGCCATACGCACACAGACACACACACACGCTGCATACACAAGGACCTCGATGCGTGTCGGTGTTGCCGGCTTTCACACATGGAAATGTTTGCAGACGCCAGCAAAACAAGACCAACCGAGGCAACCCAGCTCGGAATGGGAGCGCAAAGGAGTTTTGTGGAAAAGCTGCTTATGGAAAAATAAAAACCGAGAGACACACCACCCCAACACCGACGCACACAGACACACACACTGATAGACAGACAAATACAAACACATTGGCAACACGGTGCAAAGCAATTTGCGCATTTCCGTTATAAAAATAAAAGGGTTCTCGTTAAAAACAATACCAGGAATCCCTGGGTGGACCGAAAATGAAGGACCAGCCGTCGGGCCGTATTTCATAGTTATGACAAAGTTGGCCCAATGCAATGAAGTCCGACTGCCTCGATGATGGTTTACGAGGTCAAAGGCGTTCAATTCACGCTGGTGTGTTTACTTTGGCAGGATATGTATGTGGATCCGTCTTAGTCTAAGGTGCCTTCTGACTCAAGATCTTCCATTTTTAATCTTTAGAGTCACGAGGATTGGGATACAGACAAGGAAACTGAATAATATATTAACATAATACTATTTGTATTTATAACTCATAAGTTGCGCGAATTCAAGGCTACCTTTTAGGAAGGGGATTTTGTTTTTGTATCAGAACACTTTTCCAAATCAAATTTTCATATTCAATGGTTTGACACAAAGAACTTGTATTCCATATTTTGCACTTGCAATTACACACTTTTTGGCTGATTTAGTCTTCATTCGACTTTTTAATTTTCAAATCGAATTGATTGGCCAAGCAAATCTTATTCTGGGTAACTGAATAAACAAACCCATGGACAAGCACATCCTCACCCTGCACTCCTTAGACTGTTTATGTTTTTGGATCCCCTTGGGTCAAACCAAACGTGATCTCAAAAAAGGCCGCAAACAATTGTTTGCCATCCACCTAATGACCAATGGCCCCACGTCAAAGTCAAACAGAACCAAATCGAGGGGAGGACAAAGAGAATCGAGTCACCCCCTCCATCCCGTCCTGTCCATTCAGAGCCCAGCCCAACAGGCAAACAAATGTCCAATGAACCAGATTTCCGGGCAAACAAACAGCCGAAAAAGAAGGACTACTCGCAAAAAATACAAACTGCTCGATAAATTGATGGCAAAAACAATTCACAGCCTTTGCACCTCCTGCACCTCCTGCACCCCCTACACGCCCGGAGTGCCCGATCGGAATGTGTCCTATGGATATATATGTACATATATGTGAGGGTGTTCCTCCCACAAGTCACCCCCTTGTTTGGAATGCATGGCGCAAGGGTTTAACGCACTTAAGCAATAAAAATCGAAACAATTTTCGATGCTGCCAAGTGAAATTGAAACAAAATACCAGCAAGAAGGAGTGGAGAGTGGAGAGTGGAGGTGGGGGAATACTTTCGCTTTTCCCAAAGAGATGGGGCAAGTGAAGGAGTATAAGTGAGAATGTTATAAATAAGTGGGGCAGGCAAAGTTGTGTCCCTTTTATATGCAATACTTTCTGCTCCTCCAGTTGACAAACAGTTTGGGTTTGTGTATCCTGTATCCTGGGCTCACTGTCCCCAATCCTGCACCCGCCTCCACTCCTCTCCCTCGGCTGTGGGGTCGTTTTATCTCTTTCGCATTGTCGCCTGGTACAAATGGGTGGCCATAAACGCATCCTGGGTCTATTGTTTATGCTCGTTGGCGTGTGGCAAGCGCATAATTGAAAAAGGACATTCAGCTGATGACATTCGAGTCGCAGCAATATGAAGGGCGCCCATAAAGTGGCATGTGTCAGTTGATTAAGTCAGTGTAGTAAAAGGAAAGAGTCCACAAAAGAACCGTAAATACTTCAATCAATCATCGAATTCTCATCCCCATCTTTTCTTTTTTTGCCCCACTCCTTCTTCCAGGATCTGATCACAGCGCCTCCTACCGCTCGGACGGTAAGAGCCCGCACCTCACCAAGCACGACGCCAAGTCCTGGACCGACGACCTGGATCACATGCAGGACCTGAAAGGATGGGCCCACCGCATCGCTCCCTACTCACTGATCCTGATTCTTTTGGTCGCTCTGGGCATGGGCCGTCTGGGGGCGGGGCCGGGCTAAGCTCCTCGAGGAAAGTGTACAAAAAGTCTACGGAAACCCGATGTTAGTCTAACTAAGATAAACTACTTCGTAAGCAATACCCTTATAAATCGTGTTGGTCAAAAACTATTATTTTTGTGCTAGGTGGAAGTTGCTTACTGTAAAAAGTTGTTGATGTTTAAGCTAAATCTAAATTTAAGAGAACACTTCAAAGGATCGAGTATAAATTGGAGGGAACTGGGATTCGAAACGGAAATACAAAGTATTAGGATGTAAACATAAGGGCTTAAACTGAAACAATCTTGTTGGGCGCGGTGCGTGGGTTGACACTTATGTTTCTGGACAAACACGCTTACAATAATTATCACTCTTTGGAATTACTTACTTACTTTTAGTGATATTATTGGGTTGTTCAACGAGAAAGCTCAAGCTTTTCTTCAAGACCAGATTTATAAGTATAAACTCATGTACGTGGCTACCAAATGAGAATGGAACCGAGGTTAGATCTAAGTCCCTCGATACCGATATTTTTACTATTAGCCCTGTTCTAGCTTAGTTCCCAAGCACTGCAAGCTGTATGATAAATATTACATAAACAATTTCATCTTGGTTTAAGAGAAAATAAAAATGCCGTCTTAAATAATGTAAACTTCATCCGCGAACGTGTGTCGTTACTTGCAGTCCAGAACTGGGCACGGAATTCCCAAGGTAATTATTCCAGTCACCTTATCCATTACTGGCTCTATTGGTCTGTTCTTATATGACTTTGATATCCAAATAGACCGATTATGCCTTCCTAGGTACGGCTGGGGAGCAGATTGTCTTCGAGAGTACCGAGGTCGCTCTTATTATGGAATAGCCCTAAAGCGAATATTTACTGAACCGCAAAATGTAGTGTACACCCCAACAGCCGGAACCCCGCCATCCGCTGCCATTGTTTACTTTGCCAGTGAATTTGTGCACCATCGACCCACATGAAAACATTTTTCATTTTCATTAAAAAGCGGGGAGAACAAAAACTCGCGACTTTATAATTTAATTTAAAAAGAGGAGGCGGCAGGCAAAGGCGGCCAAAGCGGAGCAAGCGCAAAACATAAAAAATAATTATTAAAATAAATTAAATGTCTGCTGCTGCCCCCATAAACCTCGTCGAGTGGGCAATTAAAGGAGCCAGTGTGTGGGTGGGGGGCATAATGGAACGCGGCTAGTTTTTTCTCAGGAGTTGAAGGGTTAAGCGTTGGTCGAAAAAAGCACACACCAGCCAAAAAAATCAAACTGCTGCCATGGCATTTTGACTCGAGTTTCACACAACGCCATGGTAAATGGCAAAAAATTGGCATGTGAAACGATTGCAGTCTCGTGTCCCTTCAGCTCGGCCTCCTGGCCTCCTCGCTTCCTCTCCAACTTGCCTCCCGGCCATTGCCGCAATAAAGGCTCCAGTTAATAAAGCTAACAGAGCATGTGCTGTATGTCAAAAAAACCAATGAAAATATATGTGGAAAGTGTGCCTTCCCGCAAGGAAAACCAAGGAAAGGCAATCGGAAATAGGCAGACAGACTAAAAAATTACCGGAAATGAGCTCCATAATAATAATGCACAGCTATTTGCGGCTTCCTACTGCGTTTTCTCATTATGAATTACAACAATAATTGCAAAAACATTCCCAGGCACCGCTACCATTAAAATATTAATATTTAGAATTAAAGTAAAAGTTTAAAAGTCCTTAAAAATTTGGTATTTGTGATTGAGGAACAGAATCATGTTCTAAAATATATTTTAGATAAGTGTTCGGTCAAACTCACAATATTTTCGTTTAACTGTTTCTATTGCTATACAAAAAAAGCTCATTAACGATGTACCAATAACTTACTAGAACATTTATTTGGGAAGGAAGAATTGATGGAAAAGAAGAAAAAAGTTGTACAAAATATTCAACATTAAGCAGCATGAACTGTTCTTCAACTTAAAGAAAACATCGGAATATATTCACCTTTGAACCAAATTACAAAATACGTTAAATTTATGCCTCAAACTGCCTATGGAGAGTTGTGGCTAAAAGGTTCTTTTAACTCCCTTAAGAAGTTTTCATATAGGGTATGATAAAGGCTGCGTTATGGATGGACAGGCGAACATTGTCAACATACGTCATATACAGCTGATACTGATACTGCTGATAATAGTTACAAAGTAATCATTCACAGGTTAATATTTGTTCATTGGTGTATACTATATTTCCTAAGACCTAATGAACTTTAAGTTAAACTGATGAGTGGACAATGGAGTAAGAGGAAGGAGGTTCGTGTCAACCACAAATGTAAGTGCCATCATAATAGGATTTTGGTTTGTAAAAGAGCGACCTATAGCCATATTTATGAATCTTAGGTTGAGCAACTATTTCCAGTGAAAACCTAATAAAATAAATTAGTAACAGAAGAACTTTTCACCAGAAAGACCAATCTGAGATAAGGACTAATCGGTAGTATATGACCAATGGCTATCCTGACACCACCATTCTTGGGGGCCAAGTTGCTCATAAGACTGGTTTGAATATGGCGTAAAGTCAGTGGCAGTCTGCGCTAGTGCTGATGTCAATATGAGCAATAGTACATCATACAGCACCATTTTTATGATAAAGTATCAGAAGAAACCACTTATGTGAATAGCAAACGCCATTTATCAAATTAAAAACAATGTTAAGAAAGCGGATAATAGAGGTCTTAATAATTAATCAAACTCTTCTTTCGGAATAGCAAAATAAATCTTTATGTTGAAAGATACAAAAACCACAACGTTTCAATATATTTACCTGGACTTAAGGGGAGACTTTTTCAAAGACAGGTGGTCTTGGTTAGAAACAACTTTGTCTTATTATTGGAACACAAGTAAGGTTTCAAGTAAGTAAATTATCCATTGTTGGTGTAATATATTTGATATTATAAAGCACAGAAACTAAAGCGTATTAGAAACTTAATTAAATTATTAAAAAAGAGTTAAGTAATCCTTTTTTAGACAATGCCAATAGATATAAAATGTATTTAAGAGTTTCTTTCTCGTCGATGAGCTTTCAGTCTTAAACTCTAAGACGATTCAAAAGTCAGACACCAACTGCAGGCTTTGAAGGACTCCCAATCCCAGTCCCAGAATGCATCCTCGCCCGCGGTGCGCAAACCCCATTTTGGTAAAACTGAGAGATAAATTGTAATTTTAAATTCGCGTTGCATTGTTAGGCACGCGTTTAAATATTTCACGGTAGTTGTGCGACAAAATATGCACAGTAATCAAATACCAGGATATTCGAGGTCCTCGCATTTGTTTTTGCAGGCGAAATAATTCTATTGTCAGAGAGACTTTTTTCGCACGCCTGACATTGATCGGTTTAATGACGCGAGGCCACAATAATTTGCAACATTAATATTTGACAGCATATTAAATGGACGCGGCGCAGGCCTGGGATGCCAAACCATCGTCAGGTTAAAGCCAACTCTGGCCTTTAACAAAAAGCAGGGAGCCAGTTTTTGTTTCACTCGGCCAACTACTTCTATTGTGGCTACTGGCTTCCTCTTTGCTCTTTGATACGGTATGCTTTTTGTCCTGCCCCCTTTAGTATGCAATGCATTTTTTCTTGCTCCTCCTATCCTCCTCTTTTCCTCTGCCAGATCTCTGCCTTCATGGAGCTGCCGAGCCGCCGTAATTATGGGATACCGCCGGAAGCGGCAAATGTTGACAAATCAAATAAGAAGTGTTTACTTCCGAAACGGAAAGTGGATTCTAATGGGAATCTACTTTCCCTTCGGTTATCCCCAAAAATATATTTGAAAAGAACGAGCTTTCGCTCAGCGGAGACATGAACCACCGAAAGCCTTCCCAGAGTGATGACAGACTCCAGTAAGCTTTTTCGAACTCGACTCGAGTAAGGTAAAGTGAGGTCCTTCTACACGGGAAAATACAACTGAGGTCAGGTGTGTAAGTAAACAAGGCCATATCCAAATTGTAGAATGGCCTTAAAGAGAAATAGCCTACAAGGAAACCATGTTGTTGTGGCCAACAAGGTTGGTCCTTTGCTGCTATTTACTATTATTTTTACCTTTATTTATTCTTGAAGGTATTAAGGGGAAAATCAGACAAGTATTAAGATAAGCCAACAAATTAAATTATGTGCTAGTTGGACAGAAATTAATTGATAACTCTTTAAAAATGATAAGAATTGAGAGCAAGTTCAGAACTGCACTTCGATATACAAAAACCCTCTCCGTTCGTATTTAAATAACTGTAAGATGGCAGCGGCTGTTGTTCCTTCGCTCAGCTTTTCCAAAATAAAATCCTCACAATCTACAATGTCTTAGACTTAACTTATATTCTAGCAACCAACTGTTTGTTTGGATATGATAGATATATATTAGTTTGTCAAAAAAGTCTTGCGGTATAAAATTGGTTACAATAATGCGATTCAAGTCAAATATGCGCCGTTTTGTTCGATGACGCGTTCCCAACGAGATGCCAACTTCATAATGCCCCTCTCATAGAAGCTCGCTTCCCTATTGGCAAAAAACTCGGAGCGTGGCGCATCTTCGACCACCTCTACACCAGAACGATAACGTTGATACCATCGCTGTGCGGTGGAAATGGAAACCGAATCGAATAGTTACCATTACAGTTATGAGACTCCGAATAGAGGACTCAAAAAACTGACACACAGCCCCCTATTTAATGAAACACCTCAATCCACCCAATCTAATCTATCACACATATTCCTAGAATGCCCTACCTACATTGAACACAGACATAAATCCCATGAATATAGCTACAACATTTCGATTCCTTAAATCCATAAACCTTTACAACAACAAATAAGTTTAATCTTACTGTACATAACTATAATAAGTATATGTTTAAAGACTTGTTAGCATGTGTTTAAATACAAGTTTAAGTAACAAAATCCATTATTGTTACATATCTCATATTAGATATTATATCTGTCTTTTATTGTTACACAACATAATTATATAGCAGATATTATATATTTTAAACAGAAGGTCATTGCAGCTATTGCTTAACACAAAGCTAATATTACCATCACTTATCATTGCTGGTAATTTCTTTATACTAATAATGTCTTGACCTAAAAATATTTTTAGCTTATTAAATAATTAATAAACTTATGAGAACTCCTTATGAAACTAAATTTAAAGCATTATGTTATTTTCACGAATCTATGAAGGTCATAAGGCTAACATGGGAAGAACTTTCCTTTAGTTCAAGGTTTTCCAACAGATGGGACTTTAAAAAGTACAAATTGTTGTCATATATTTGGGTAACAGAATAAGAGCTATTTGATAGTCGGGTTTACTTAGCTAGACGTAAAAACATAGCAAAAGAATAATCAATAATCATTCATAAGAAATTGGGAAAAGTTTTCCCCAATTTCCGACTGTAAAAACGAGCAGACGGTAGAAGTTCCGATAGAAGTTCTTGGAGCTTAGCTTGGCATCATTAATTGCTTTGTTCAGCGATCTTCTTGCGACTGTTTTATTTGAACTTAATGTAAAAAACACTGACCTCAGCAAGTAACAGTCGAGGAAATAATTTTGGCTCTGTCAAAAAATGATGTTCAGGACTTAGCCATTGAAACTGTAGTTTTATCGGCAAGAGAGCTT